AAATAAATGGTTTATTTCGCGCTCGGCATTCTTAGATGCGCGTAAAGTCTGACGGGTGACTACGCAACCATCACACTGCCTGTGAGAAGTTTGCCGTCATTTATGCTCCGAGGCTGGGGACACGTAAACGAAACAGCTGGAAATCAAATTCGATGTTATGAGACTATCTGGACCTTCAGTTTCGCCTAAAACATGCATGCGTAAGCAACACAGTTTCAAAAACGTTATGTCCTTTTATGCACGGTTTTCCGGACACCTTGTGCTGCTTTAACGCTGGAACAATCTAGGTGTTAACCGCCGCATTGGCTGTTGCGTGCATAAAGAGGGGGGGTGGGGCGGGGGAGGGCTGAAACGGCTAGAATAGAGTTTCTAGACGAATTGCAGTGGCCGACCAACGAACAAAGAGTCAAGGTCGCGCGAATGGGTTGGAGGGATTCAGGGGCGAAAGAAATTGCCTCGTAGTCGTAGGGACTGCATCTACCCACCACATTCTCAACAAAGAAGTTACGTGGGTGAACCATGTGCAGCAGCGGAAACGCCAAGAAGTCTTGGTCGTACGGCTGCCAGGTTGAGCGTAAATCTCCGTCACCACAGAGCATGTTGCCCCACTTAGGTAGGTTATCGACGCTCATGACTGGCTCTAAATTCTAAGCCTGGTGGATGGAAATTCAGGGCGTCTTTGTTCGCTGTTGGTGAACGCTGGATGTTGGAGGCGAGGCGCGCCTTTGGCAGGGATTATGCATATGGCTCCCTAAGCGGGACATGAGAACAGGAACCCTCCGCGATGAAGGTGGCTTTGCGCAAAATTCCAGGGAAATTAGGGTAGAGTTACACGTTTGCGGTTAGGTTTAGAGTTGGGGTTAATGTCAACTGTAGTGGCAGGGTTGGGGTCAATACTAGGGTTACCGTTTAGGTTCATGTTAGGGCACTAGAATATTTAGGCTTCCTGGAATTATTCGAAAAACCACATATTTTAATTGGGCGAAGCGTTACTCTTACCTTACCGCGTCTTTAGACTGCTCATTACTAGTTGAAATGCCTTCTAAAAACTTATAGGGCAGAAGAGTCGCAAAAAAATATTTATCGCCAAGATTTGCAGCCCTTCGCGACCTGGCTAGCGAAGTAGGTAAGACTCTAATTATCGGCTGGATCGGGGTAATATTGAGCATTTGCGTCAAACGCTTCACTACTTGCTCCACGGGCCGACATCCGGTCGACTGCTATCTGGAATACTCAGCGTTGGGCGACCCCGCTCGAGGTGTGGGACTCTCGGCGAGCGTAGCGCTTCGCAGTTGGAGCGGACAGTTCTTAAAAAAGTGTCCCTTAGAAGAAATATGTAAGTGGTTGGAGCGGCCAGAGCCAAGCTGCATGAAATAAATCATAAAATCAGAGCAGACAGATGAACATCACCTCCATACGGCTTTGAATATCGCTTTCTGTAGAATACTTACTCGCCTCCACCCCGTAAATGTCCTTGCCGTTTGGCCAGCAAGATCCGGTGTTTATCGTATCCCTAACTAGCGTGCACTCTACAGCTCCCTCGCAATTGCTATGGTTTGTTTGGCGAAATAAATTTAGATGTCAGTTCCAAAATAATTCACCCCCTTGTTGGGTGATTCTGTAATCAGCGAGAGTGTATGTGGCTGCGTCTTCCACACTTGGGTGAATGATCACGTGACCTCTGCGATCCCTCTCCTTTCCGACCTAAGGTATTACTCCCCCCATGAGCGACAGGTTTTCCTCCTAAAAAATCCAAACTTTTTTTCACTGTCTGCTCCTTTTTCCCTTGTTCCACTTCATTGACTCGTGTCACTTGGCATCGCCAATAAACTGACGTACTTTTTGATATAACAACACGCGTGTACAAAAATAGAGAGTTCAAAGGTACACATCTGCATTTCCATTAGATAAACCGAACTAAACTGAACCTGGGCTCCAGAACGCTTTTTTGAACAACTGTTTTGCTTCTGTCTATTCCAACGAAAAGATTCAAAAGTATTCGATTCCATTGAGGTGTAAATTCCAAAACCATTCGCATCGGCTTCGGGATATTTTTAGACAACTGTTATGCTTCTGCATACTCCAAAATGAATGCCGATTTTCGTAGCTTTTCTGCAGAGACACGTTCTTCTCTCAAAGTCTCCCGTGGCCCGCTATTTTTCATATTGTTTGAGAAATTAATGTTAGCACTCTGCGTTTAATCCCATAAAAATACAATTTGAGGTACAAAAGGGTTTTCCACTTTTAGCTTTCCACCGGAGTTTGCAGGTCTCTGAGTAAACTTAAAAATAGTACCGATGTACTTGTAAGACCAAAGTATGCAGGAGTCATGTAAGGTTATCGGGACCTCAGCCCTGAGTCAAGCTGTAATGTGCCAATCGAGGTAGACACCATAACTGCGCTTCGTGCAGTTACTTAATCACGGTAAACAGATGCGATTCCAACACGCACTCATCCACTAAATCCTTTTTTCGGCAAAATAGTTAGCGCCCGCTAATCCGTTGGATATAAACACGACTCTTGCTCTTACATGCAGCTTAACCAGATGTCGCTGTGGTTAGACAGGAACCGTCGGCATTATTGTATTGCCACGGTGATGACAACAGAGGTGTTGAGGGGGTGGTGATGAGTGCAACTAATCCGATCAAACTGAAGATGTAATCGAGACCTGCTTCAAACAGCCACTAAAGTGTTAAACTAAACAAACACGAGCGCGCGGGCGGGCAGGCGGGCGCA